AATATGACCAATTTGATTAAATGTTCCCATATAGAACTTCAACAATAAAGATGTAGATATTTATGATTATCATTATAGTTTAATTAAACTAAATTTTATACTATAATCCTATCTTAATCCTAATCCAAACCCGAACCCTAATATAGAGGAATTTTAAGTTTTCCGAAATGATTTTTGCTCATCACGTGTTCGGAAAATCGGACAGACGGTTTTTGAACTCCAAAATAACGATAAAGGGTGCTCATTTCTAGACAGTTACTTGAATGTCTACATTATCTACCGGGAATAAGCAATTTAGATGATCGTGCCAGAAGGGTCAATCAACAATCTCTTTATGCAGAATCCTTCGTCAGCGCATATTACGAGAAGGGTTCAACCACAACTAATAAATTGATTCCGCTTCCAGCTTCACCAGCGCCGGATCCGATTAAGACTTTAAAAGAGAGGTTAGGAAGGGAGGCTCGCGCTATTGAGCAAAGTGCGAAATTCAAAGCAAATTTACTTGCAGAAACAAAGGAGAGATTGGCATCGGTAGAAAATGAAAATGAAATGTTAAAAAGTCGATGGGAGACGATGGAGAAGGAAAATAAAAACTTGAAGAGGAAGTTGGAGGAAACGGAACAATTAGAGGAGGAGAATCAGTATTTGAAGAGGAGGTTGGTGGAATTGGAGAAGGGAAAAGATTCCTCATCATTGTGTTCATCTACACTTAAATCCGAAGATACCTATCAAGATGGACAAGAAGAAAAAGAAGAAGCAAGAATACGGAAATTAATGGAGGAGATTGAAGTTTTGAAAAATCACAATGAGCGAAAAATTGATAATTTGAATGAGAAAATACGGTTATATTAAGAGAAGAGCCAATTCCAGGAATCTCAAATCGATCAGCTAAGACAGCAATATTTAGCTGCTCCGAATGTTGCGGATTTGAAAAAATTCCGCGAAGAAAACGAATTGCTTATTCGCGAAAAGAGGCTCATATCCCGGAACAAGAGCTTCTTAAGTAAGAACACAAAGAATTAAAGAGGATAAGGAATTAATTAAGAACATTGTCGTGCTCTCATTGTGTCCTCGTTGAGATATCGAAGTTTGATTCTCATAACATTTCAAACCAAGCTTCGTTATCATCTAGATCATCTAGATCATATTCCATAGTAGGAGGTTTTAACGAAGGAGAATTAGAAGAAATTGTAGTAGAAGTAGGGTTGGGCTCTCCCACTTTAGAGGTTGATGCAATGATGTTATCCTTCCTAATATTTGTATTCATCCTCTTGATTGTCCATTCTGATTCCTCTTCTTTATCTGAAGAAGAGTTCCTTTCTGTATCTTCTTCATCTGAAGAAAAGTTTGCGCTAAAAACATTTGATGATCTCTTTCTTTTAGTAGTCAGTATTTTTATTGGCATAGACAGTGCAAAACAGTTATTATTGTTTCTATGGCAGCTAATTTTATATCCATATTTATCATTCCAATAATATTTCTTGATCTCATTTCATTCTCCCCCCGCTTATCTGATGTCAAATAATTTAATTTTAGATCTCTTAGCCTTAGTAATAATTGAATTATAGAAGTTTTAATTTTATCGTGAGACCTCTTTATTTGTTGAACTTGAGCAGCTTCATCTTACTAGGTAATATAGGCATAGCATCTGGAACTGTATCAGGAACTTTTGAAGTAGAAGGCGAAGATTGAGGAAAATTTTGTGATGGTAATCTCCTTCTTATGGCATACCATTTCTTAGCAAATGGATCATTTTTAGGAGAGATGAGAATTCTATACATTTCTCTATAAGTAGATTCTTGTCTTTTATATTCAAAGCCAGGAGGATAATCCAACTTTCTAAATTTCAATTTTGATTCTGGTTATCTTCTTTACTTTCTTTAGATAGTAATCTTTTCCTCCTTGAATTTGCTATTATCTTATTTGATCCATCAATCATTACTTCAGAATCTTTTGACGGAGACAGATCAATCTCTTTTCCCTTATCCTTTTCTTTCTTTTTTTCTATTTCTATCTCAACCTCTTTCATGTTAGTAATATTAGCTGCAGCGTTGTTATCTGCTGGTGCTTGTATTGAGCTGCTACTATCCACTCCTGTCTGCGTAGCGATTGAACGTTGCCTTGAGACACCTAACATGCGACATAAACTAATAAATTTCATCGTTGCCCCATTCCTTAATAGCTTGGAGTGATGATGACGAGGCCTATCATTATTGTTGTTGTTATCGTTGTTATTATTTTGATAAGGATATGCTGACGAATGTGTTTAATGGGTCATATCTCACCGCTGCTGAAGTTATTACCTTTTGCCGGAGTACTCGATCGTTCATTATCATTTACAAATGGTTCATAACTTTGACTAACACTATTAAACATCGCTTCGTGAAAAGAACAGTGAACCAGTACTTTCAGGTTGAATTGAAAACCCTTGACTGCTGGTTCCTAATACGATATCCATGTCGTAGGAAACAGATTCTTTAAATAAAGACATTTTTGGAACCTTTTATCCTTTGTTCAATATTTATTATTGTCGCCGCTGCTATATTGCTTTTATGTGCGAAATTTAATCGTTTTGTTTTCTTTAGAGTCAATTGAAATGTGCGTATTAAGGATAGGACTGTAGTTTTCAATTGCAATCACTGGCAATTTTCAGGTGACAATAGCAATTATCGTGTGTATATTTGATATTGCGAGCATCCACTTGTCCAATTCATGTGTCGATACTAAATTTTTTGGAGTGTGGTAAACCGTTTTCATCATCATTATCGTCACCATCATGTCATGGTTTCAAAAATAACTATATGATAGATGTGTTTGTAATCAACATACTTTTATCGATCTTTGTGAAGTTAACTTTGACTGGCTTAATGCAAGAATCATAAAGCTTTCCTGATTTTTTTTCCTGTGCATGGGTTGCATAGCCATCGCACACAATCAACAATATATATAGAGATGAAAAGCATAAATCAAACCAAATTCTTACAATTTGACAATTAAATAAAAACGCATTTTTTACATTTGTTCCATATATCGGTACTGTATCGATATATATATCTTCTATTCGAGCCCATGTTATATTATTATTACTATCGTCTATTACGAACCAACCAAATAAAAGCGAGGGAAGTAGTATCACAAAAAAATAAAAAACACAGGTAGATCAGCGATCTGGTTTCTTTGTTGAGACCACAGAATTATCCAGTCCTCATTCGTCACCTATACGCCTGTAGTGGTAGTTTGTAGTGAACAACTACTTAATAATCGGTTCCGCATTGCACAGACCTTATTACCCTTTCTCTTCGCCGTGCTTTCTCCCCCGTCGTTGTATATAGTGTTTTCATTTTTAAATATATTTTTCCGTTGAACTGCCGGACGATCACCAAAATAGGTTTCTTTCGGTCATATACGATATACCAGCTTTCACACAAGCGAAACGGCACAACCTTATAGAATTCAGGATAGCAGAAATGGTAAGCGAATTTTGCCACAAAGCATACAAGACAACAACACTGGAGTGGCACGAAATCGTTTCAGTCGTAGAGGTGATAGAATTTCACGAACGACAAGTTCTAAAAATTCGGGTCGGAGCGACGTAATTAGCTTCAGCGTTGAAGAAGCAGGAGAAACGTCAATGAATAGTAATGAACCAGCATCTACGGTTGAGGAGGTAATTGAGTCGAGTGACAGTGAAAAAGAGAAAAACAATGAACAAATTCAACCTGAAAATTATACCCAAAATTTTGTACAACCCATCTACATTGATATTATGGATGATGGGGAAACATCGATGAATAATAGAGAATCAGCACCCTCTATTGAAGTAATTGAATTGAGTGACAGTGAAGAGAAAGTTCAACACGAAAATTCCAATAACTCATCTTCGCAAAATGACACCCAGAATGCGATACAACGTATCTATATTGATCTCGTGGATGACAATGAAGAGAACGAGGAAAATGAGGGACAAACTGAAATAATATACATTTCAGATGAGGAAGAGCCCGATTATGATACTATAGAGCCAAATATCATGGAATATCAAGCAGAAATTCGCCGAAAAATTCATTTATACGGCCAGATACGTCCTCAAACAGAAGAAGAACGCGAATATTCGTGAAGGATTCACAACAGATTTGGATAAAGATACGATTGTGATTTGCTCTAGATGCAATCATGGAATGGAGAATGGGATGTGCGTATTATACTGTGGACATGTGGTTTGTGGAAACTGTGGAACATTATACAAGAAAGATAGGATTTCTTTCTGTCGAGTCTGCAAAGAATATATTGAGAAAAACGAAGTTACTAGACTTTTCTTTTAATTATTTGAAGAACAACATTTATTAACATATTAATAGCTGCAAATTTTTGCGCATGACACACTATATTTGTCAATAAATATAGCCACATCTTAGCTTAATTTATATAGTTATATTCGCATATCCATTACATCATGAATCAAAAAATCAGATCGTGTGAAGTATAATTAATAATGGGTTAGTGAGTTTAGTTATCTTCATCTTTTTATGGCATTAGAAGCGTGATAAATTTAATGATATCATAACTTTTAAATTCAATTCGCAAAAAGCAATTAGTGCTCCGAAGGGTCGAATCGGGTCTGGTTTTGGACATATTCGTATTCGATCCGAGTATACTCGGGTTAGATTTATATAACCCGAACTTGGCTCGACCCAACTTGTACCAACTCGAACTGACTCGAATTTTGTTAAAAAAATTTGAATCGGTAGCAAACTTGAAAAATACAAAATTTGTCGGTCACATGACTTTTTTAAGGGGTAAAGGAATTAAATTTAATGTTAAGCCAGAGTTCAGATTATATTATACGTGAGAAGATATCCTTTTTTATTAGAGCACAGAAAGAAGTTTCATAGACAAAATTTCGAGATACAAGCTATTTTTCTGCTTTGAACACAGTGTCCTTGCGATTTGATTGGTTTACCCCTTAAAAATGTCATGTGACTGAGACTTTTTTTGCCAGTTATTATTGATCATCATACATGTACTATATCGGTATGATAACTGGAATTATCCAAACGATAGCCCGGATTGTACCAATGTATGACCCTGACTTGTACGGTTGATTAAATTTAGGACTCGTGTTGTTAAGTAATAATCCGATTTAAAAACTCGGGATCGGGTTAAATAATTCGGGTTGATTCGATCGTTTCGGAGCACTAAAAATCTCGAAGCTGCATTATAGTCCAAGAGACATTTAATTTCACGTTTTCCCAATCTTCCAATAATAAATTTAAAATATCTACAAATCTGTACTGTCTTGCCCTAAAGTTAAATAATATTAAAAAAAATTTGCCAATAAATTATATTCATCTTTTACATCTTTTACATGTGCTATTCTGTAGGAGTCTTATTACAGAATTCTTCTCATGGTGTATTGTTTTTGTGAATCAATGTTATCAGTATGTTAATACTATATATTTTATTATATCTATTGAGAATCGTGTATTACCTGTTTTTTACAGTTCGGTTTATGTAGGTTTCAATTTATCAAGGTTGATAGTGTTTTGAAATTACTGGATTTTTGCCATTAAAATTTTGAGACTTAGTACATGTAGTTTACTGCAATTATTAAACGTTTCAAATTGCTGAGACTTATTGTTAATAAAATAATCAAGAGAAAGAAAGAAGATTGATTAACTTGTGACGAAATCCTTGTATATAGAGTTTTTATATAGCAAGATGCATCATTATTTATCGTAAAAACTACCCGGGTTCTGTTGCATTTCACCAAAAAGTTTAATTAATATAAAAAAGAAAATTATTAATAAAAAAGGGAGGAGGATCTTTTATCTGGTGAGGGAGGATAGTTTATGCGCCTAATTATGGTATATCATCCTTCAGTTGTCAATTAATAAAGTGCATCAATTCCTACTTTATTGACAGAGTCGATGTCCAGCTCATATTAGTTTTTTTATAATTAATTTATAATTAAGGGTCGATATTAGCCAAATTTCTGTTATAACATATTTGACTATACAGTAGAAATAAATGATACAGATCATTTTATCAATGTTACAAATATAATTATAGTAATAATCTTTACACATATAAAAAGAAGTTGACTACTTTATTTTTGATTGTAAAATTCATCCATTTCTATTACTATTTGTCAGGCCTCTCAAAGATTTTCTGGATATCTTAGTCAAATTTTTTATATAATTAGAAGATTTATAGCTCACTAAATACAATTTCATTATTATTTTATTACAAAGACTCTAATATCAATAACAAAAGTTTGAGCTATACTATTATCTAGAGATTTCAAATATAACTATTTTAAAAATATTTTCATATTATCAGATATTATTAAAAAGTATAATATTTCAATTGTTTGCTTATGATTTGATCAATCTAATTTTATTAGTAGTAATATTTAAATTTAATAAGTTTCTCTTCTTTTAAATTATTAGTCATTAAAACAAATTTTATCAAAAATAAGTAATACTTTTCTTTCATAAAAAAATAATATTAGTTAATAATTTAATTAATTTTTATGAAATATTTTGTCAAGTTATATAAAAAAATAAATAATAAAAATATAATAATATTATATGAATCAAATAAATTTTATGAATTATTATTAATAATTCAAGTAAATTATTCTAAATATATTTTAAAAAATTAGTTCATAAGACTTATATATTTTACCAAATTTTTAATATATTAAATGTTCAAGTTTATGTAAATTTCTGAATAATAAGTAGAAAAGTTGATCTAAAAGCTCAAAAAAATTTTATATTAATTTATTTTTTAATTTAATCCACTAATAAAATATTAAAATAATTATAAAATTTTAATTAAATAAAGTATTATTATCATAGTGACATAAAATTTCTTAATTTCTTAATCTTTTCTTAGTTATACTAAATTACATTTTCTTATAATTTTCATTTATTTTATAAATATCTCTATTTTCATATTATATATTACTATATTTATTATCACATCTCTATTTTTAAATACTATATTTTATTTAATATTTGGAATCTATATTTTATTATTATTTATAATATGATATTCATATATATAATAGAATAGTATAGTAAAAGATCATTTTTAATTTTGGTAAAATAGTTACACTTGAATGATAATCTCAAATATCTTTCACATTCTTTGATATTCTCTCACATTTATTCATATCTTTCCATATTTTTCAATATCTTTTCATATTTTTTAATATTCTTTC